AGGGCTTCCTTAGGGCCCACAGGGCTTCCTCGGGGCGGGTTCCTCCGGGAACCACCTCCCTCTCCTGGTCGGAGACACAAACACTGCTTCCCTAATCAATGTTATCGCTCCGCATTGGTTGTGAAGCGCGGGATTACCTAGATAGGGGATAAATCCCAAAGGAATCAAGTCACGCTTTGGGTAAAGAGGGCTTTTCTTTTTAATCGGGCATTTGGTTAAGATAATAAGCTTGAGACCCTAATTGATTATTACTATTTTAAGGTTTTAAGAGGGCTATGTATAGTGAGACGCTGGCCAGGGGAAAGGCTTTAGGGATGGTCGCAGGGCTGGTCTTGCAGACCTGTCATGTAATTTCAAAATACTGTAAAAAAAATCCAAGTCTCCTAAAAAGCTGTTCTCTAAAGCTTAATACGTTGTCACTCAGACTGTGGTGGAAGAGAAATAACTGGATTTGAACGTTTTCATCTTCAAAGGATTAACTCTTCCCCGTTATTATTTAAGTTTGAATTTCAGGAAGCCAATTGTGTCTCTGTTTAGAAAATACCTCGTATATTTATGGTGCCATCAAGTATTTTATAAGAAAAAATAATCGTGTTGGATTACATAAGTAAACCTGCTAATTAAATAACAATAATACCTTGAGCACCCTGAAAACATCTTCTGATATTCAATTAAGGAACAAAAACCCAATGAACTTTAACCTATAGACCATATTCAGACCGTCTACATAAAAGTAATTGCATCAGTCATGATTTTCTCAAGCTACAACACAAGCCCTTGATTGGTAGAGCAACATCTGAGACTCCTTTTGCAGCATTAATTGGGAAAGCAGACAATACTCTCCCTGTAAACTCGATTTTAGGACGAAGGTTAGTTGCCTTTGTACACGTTTACTCATTGAAGTGGGAATGTTTGCTTAATAATTCAAAACAAATGGCATTAGACAAGAAGCCCTAATCCTGATTTCCCCTCCACCAGGGTAAATTAGGAGAAAATCAGGAGTGATTCTGTTTGGTCTGTGTAGAAAGATTTGTTTAAAACTTTGTTGAGATAGAGATTAGAAATCCCAGCCTTTTTTTCCTGGCTTTTTCTTTACTGGCATCGAGAAAAATATGCAGTTTGCAYTATGGAATTACTCTGCAATTAAAGCAGTCTTCAAGTAGTGGCAAGATGCTTTTCATGTGGTATTGTTATGCTACATTATAGATCATTTGTAGACTACACCAAATGTGTGATGGGGTGACAGTATATCATTTATTAGGCAGCTTCCTTATGGGCTTCATTCAATTTGGGCTTATTAATCTGCTTTTTCCCTCGGGGGCGTGGAAAAAAAGGCTCATCCTTGTGTATTCAACTCGAGTGAGGTCTTGTGCAAAGATGTAGGACTTCAGGACTTGGATTTGGGTTGAACGCAGTGATTCAGCACGACAGAGAAGCACCAGCTTGAACTTCTCCCCGCGTCGCGTTCAGCAGAGCAGCTAAGCACGTGCTGCACACGAGCGCATGATTAGCACCGCCTTGCTGAGCCAGGGCTGCCTGGCCTAAAATTGCCTAAAACTGCCCCAAATTCTGCCCAGATTTCCCCTGCACGAGCTCGRCTCGCAGAAAGCGAGACACGAACCAGAACGCGGCGGTGGCGCGAGGCGGCCGAGAAACCGCGGCCGGTCCTTGGGTGCCGAACAAAGGCAGCGCCGCGCGGTGCGGGGAAGCGCCGTAGCAAGAACGAATCCTGCAGGCTTCCAAGATGCTTAATCGTCTTTTCAGTAAAGGATCTCTTTACTGCTAACATCTGCATAGGTAATTGCTTAACTTTACCTCTTTTTTTCTCATTCAGAACTAAGTGGAGCAGCCACATGGATGGATTTTTTTTGCATTCTGGCCTTTGTTAACAGGCACAAACGGTTTGCGTTGATGTCTCTTGTCAATCACACTATTTCCCAGCCGTTCTTCTTCTGCTCGTTCAGTTTCTTCACCCGGTTCCTGCCGTTTTGCTTGTAGTGTTATTGGGGAAGCCCGCTCGGGAAAACCTGCAGGGTGGGGAGGCTGCAGGGCACCCGTCCTGCCAAGGGCATCCCCCCGGCGGGCACCTCCGTGATCCAACCAYGGGCAAGATTAGCCCCCATGTCCTCATGTTGCCAGCAAACAGCAGCGCAGCCACTTGTGAAATCCGCCTTTCTCTTGTGAAATGTTGATTTTTCACTGAAGAAGGGTGCCAACCTCATCGCTCTTTTTGTGTGCTGCTGTTTAATGATTAGCATCTCCTGATGGTGCAGAAGAAATGCTCCTACATTAATAAGGGGATATTGCAGGCACACCCGGCAACTTCCAGGGTTGCAACTTCCAGTCATTCATTTACGAATGGCAAAGTTAGCAGGCCCGAGCTGTTGCTCCCTGTGCTTGCTCAGTCAACATGACGTGGTTTTACCTGAACCGTGATAGTTATATTTTATTTTATTTACCTAAGCTTCCCCTGGAGCCTCAGCGTGGTAGCAACCTGCTAGAGAAGCCCAGGTGGAAGCGGACACGGGAGCAGAGGCGGCACGGGGCGCTGGGCAAGCCCCACGCGTGCCAGATGGCCACGGCATCGCTCAATGCACTTCTGGAAGCTGCTCGGGCACGATGGGGATGAGCACAGTGCGAGAATTTATATAGCACGGCCTGGCTTCCCCGCAAAGGGCTCGAAACTGCAGAGCATTAAGCATCCTGGCCCCCGGCCAGCAAGGCACTTAAGCATATGCTTAATTTTAGGCACATGAGTGGTTTCAGTGAAGACCTAAGAGAATTATTTTTAATTCACAGATCATTTAATTCAATAGGCAGGTCTGCTGCAGCATATGAAAAGTAGATCTTCATATTAAAAATACTTGGGAAATTGTCAGTGAACAAACATTGTGCGTGGGCAACAAGCATCGCTGAAGAGCGGCGTGGCGGAGTCGTCGCCTTTATTAGGGCGCAGTGCAGAGCGCGCCGGGCAGAGCCACTTACAGTTACCTCTAAGGTGTAAATAAGGGAAAATAAAGACTTGTAAGAACTTTTTTTAATTTGAAGTAGAGAAAAATTTATTCTCCGGCTGTAAATATAACCCTTGCTTGCAGATTGAAGAATTTGTTTGTGTTGAATTTCAGCATCAATTTCAATATTTTATAGTACACTTATCTACAGCTGGAGCATGACAGATTTGTGTATATTTATCTGTTTGTGTACATAATACATATGTATACACACATACACGGGGATGCCCAGGGAGATACRTATAGACGCCTCGGAATCTCCTCATTCCTGCAGGAGTCTCCAAGGCCCCGTGCAGGAGCCYGGCTCCGGGCTGTGCGGGCGGCAGCTCCGCGGGCCCAGCCCTGGCCTTGACTGCCCGGGACTGCGGAGCTGCCCCCAGCCTCGCCCCAACCGTCCTCCCACACCCGCCTCCCTTCCTTCCTTTCCCTCTTTCTCACTTTCTATCTCTCCTTTCTCTCTGTGTCTTCCTCCTTCCTTCCTTCCTTCCTCCCTCCCTCTCTTCCTTCCTCCCTTTCTTCCTTTCCCTCTTTCTCACTTTCTATCTCTCCTTTCTCTCTGTTCCTTCCTTCCTTCCTCCCTCGCTCCCTCTCTTCCTCTCTTCTTCTTTTCCTCTCTTTCTCTCTTTCTCTCTCTCTCCCTCTCTCTTTTTCTCTCTCTGTTTCTCTCTTTCTCTCTCTTTCTTTCTCTTTCTTTTTCTTTTTCTTTTTCTCTTTTCTCTCTTTCTCTTTCATTCTTTCTCTCTCTCCCTTTCTCTCTTCCTTCCTTTCTTTCTTTCCTTCTTCCTTCCTTTCCTTCTTCCCCAACATCCCCACCTGTAGTCCTGAATGCAGGACGCACTTCCTTTGCTTCCCATGCAGCAGAATCTGTTTCTTTCGAAACAGCCCCAAAGAAAAGCAAGGAGCAGACACGCAGCTCTGCGCAGTTCCCTTGGGGAAGGTGCTCAGGGATTGCCAGGGTGAGCACGGCCAGGGGGGCTGCGTGAGAGCCAAAACACACGTGTGCGTGCCCTGAAATGGGGACTCTAAGTAGGACATCCCTACCGGGTACCCCGTTATCCCGGGAGCAGGCAGGACTTGGTTCTTTCYGTAATCTCCTTATCCCGAGATTTCTGCCGTGGCACTGCGTCCGGGCGCGCGCGGCCGGCGGGGATGTCCCGCGCGTCCCCCCCGGGGCTGCCGCCCGAGCGGCGCCTTTTGTCATTGATCAGACCCGTGAAAATTAAATGAACATTTGGTGGTAGACATGTTTGCAGAGGAGAGGGAAAATACTGTTATGTAAAGTGTAATAACATTTTGATACGAAGTGCAGAGGCATTGCTTGCACGGAGCTCCGAGCTACGGCCTGCATCCTAAAGACACTCCTAGCTCCAGCTCAGCACTTTTCCTAGGCAGACATTTATTTTTCTTTTCCAAAGCTTGTTTTAAACGTTAGATTTTTTTTCTCCCTATGAGAAAAGAATTCATTTTAAAGTAGGGTGGGTTTTTTTGCTGCTATTTTAAGATCTCCCCAGTGTAGCCTTAGAAAATGAAGAGTACATCTTTAAATCTTGTTTTGTTTGAATGAATGGGTAGATAATCCTGATCAGATGTTTCTTTAGAGAATAATGTTTAAAACGATTATGGAACTTAGCTGTCCTGCATGTTTCCTAGGTACAGTATTTTCATTTCAATTGTGAAGTCATTAGGGGTCATCCAAGGTAACCGGTTATTAAAATAGTCCTCTTTTGTTTCAGGTTTCCTGTTGAGATGCTTTAACATGTAAAAATCTCCCTGCTGATGTGTCACGTTAGCCCTGCTAACCTCTAGCTAGAAACCACAAAGCAGCCTACATAGCTGTATGACTAGCTACCCACCTACATAAACAATAATTAGTGCTAAGTGGGAAATTAGATGGCACATTTTAAATCTAAATGAAACTAAAGTATTTGAGAATACCGTCATTAAATGCTTCAAGCTAATCGCTGTTCTCTCACTCTGTTTGTTTTGTAGGACATTTGGGCTTCCAGGACAGTTTTGTCACATCAGGTGTTTTCAGTGTGACTGAGCTAGTAAGAGTCTCACAAAGTAAGTATCGCGTTGTGGAGGGTTAGGTGGTTTCTGCAATCTCGGGGTTTTTCTTTTTTTTGCCTTGATTCTTATCGTGCCCCTTCCCCAATTTGGAAATGGTCTCTTGAAAATGGAGTGTCTTCTCCCTGCTTTGCTCCAATGACACTGCTGTTTGCCATGTCTGTTAATGCAGAAAAAACAGTGTAATATTTTAAATACATGTATATTAATGATAATATAAATGTATGTAGTCCTGCAAAATAGTATGTGGAGGTTGCTGAACCACTGTGGTGCTCAGCTGAAAACGGGCAGATTCTGTGTAAGGGCAGCRAGCTGCCTAGGCAGAGGAGCTTGCAGGTGGATCCCTTGCAGGATCCAAGGGCTGTATTTCAGCCAGACCTCCAGCAATGACACCATTCGTGCTCATCAGGTGGGAATCTTTCCTGTGCAGCGTTGTGCAGTGCACCCCTCGGTGCCACACGTGCATGTGTGTGCCCACCTGCAGAGCGATGCCTCTAGCCAGTGGCAGCAGCTCCAGCAGCCTGCTGTCCTGCACTCGGGCACAGCTTTGCAAGGCCTGCAGGTCCCCTCCACCCTGTGGAATTCGGTCTTTTGAAGGATTTGTTTTTTGACCTTTAGAGAATGCTAATGCCCTCAGCGTGAATGACACACTGCAGCATGATCATTACGGCCTTGTCAATACTCACTAACAACAGTGAATTAAGAGCACCTGTCACCACCCTGGTCCATTGATCAAAGGTGCATTGATTGGGTTTTGCTATGACATAATCCAGATAGTCCAAGGAGAGAGGATGGTGGTGAGACTCCGACTAACCAGGCCCGTAGGACCAGTCCTCTTCCCTGGAGCTACAGTCGAGCTGAGCAGTAACRTTGCAGTCTCACTAATTATCACTGCTGCAGTTGAATCACTCGCCTGCCTGTCCCGTTACAACCGTGGGGCATGTGCCCAGCACTGGTTAGTACAGCCAGCCACAGAAATGGCTCTGCTCCTGGACATATGGATATCTGTGTGTATATTGGCTCCGCACACGCAGCCTGAGCCATCAGGGGATGGTGCTTCACTGGCACGGCCCCAGCACAGTGGTTTGGAGTCTCAGGGCAGAGTTCCTATAAGGGGTTTTGTTTCATCTTCCGCAGAGTCTTGCACATCTGTCAAACCCATAAACGAGCTGTCCATTGAAAAATAGGCTGCCCACGAGAAAAGCACAGGGAGTGGGAGGCAGGCGGTCAGCAGACCCACGTGCACGGGAGACAGGGACTGAGAGCAAGTGGCTGCTTGAAAACCTGTGGGAGTTTTCTTGGAAGGACAGAGCCAAGAGGGGCACAAGTGCAGAGGAGGAGCTGGGCGCTCAGCGCGCCTGGAAGCCGCCTCACTCRCTGGGCTGCCCCAGGGGCTCGGACAACGGGCTGCCTTGGCCATCGTGCTCTAACTCGCTGCGGCCGCCAGCCCCGCTGGGCAAAACCCGATTTCCGCCTCYTCTGCCCGTGCCCATCTCATGTCACCTTAGCTCAGTGCGAGGCCCTCAGGCTTTTGTATCCCAAAGGCCTCCCCTGCCCGCTCCGTATGGCCTCCCGCTCCGCTGCAATCTTATCTTGGCCGTGGGAGCAGGGCTGCTCTGGGCTCCGTCAGCCGTGCTCCGTGCTGCTGGGCACCCCGCGGCCCGTCCTGCCGGCCTCGCACGGCCTCCTGTTGTTGATTATCCATGGTGTCTTATTGCAACCAAACAGAGATATGGGCTACCAAAAAGCCTAGTGTTCACCACGTCTTGCAACCAGGGAGAGAGCAGGACAGGCGTCACCTGCACCGGGAACACGCAAGGACACCTTGGTAGGCAAAATGACAAGATTCAGCTTTTTTGTTCAGCAGCCAAGGGAGGCTGCTCTCTTTTTTCAYGGGCTCTTCAATAATCCTTGCAGCTCAAGACCTCAGTTTTATATCCTGTCCAGAAGCCAGCAGAGGACACCAAAAACGGTGTTCCCAAAGTGTATGGGGATCGCTCCTCAGAGCTGACTCAGAGGGAGGAGTGCCAGGCCTGGATTAGCCACACGACTCCTGGTAGCACCCTGCATTTCCCTGGGAGATGCCCCGGACCTGGGCGCACCAGCAGTCACCCTGTTTGCTCCATGAGGTCTGAGAAGCCCCCACGTGTGGCTACCCGGCCGCATGGCTTTAATGGAGAGTCTACCAGCAAATTCCCATTGAAGCCAGTAGGAATTTGCATGCTCATAATCAAAGAATTATTTAGCGTAGCGGAGCAAGAGACTAATTGCTGCCTATTTGCCTAAATTGCTGTGTAGGGTTTCCCTTAAAGAGCACCCTTCTCYATATAACGCGGGCTGGGTTGCTCGTGTATGCTTGTGGCTTGAGCTGAGGCCAGCCCGTGGGTTGCTCTGGTGCTGGGAAGCTCCGCTGAAGAACAGCCATCGTTCAGCCTCACTGGCCGATATTAGCAGTCTTGAGCAAGCAAAACATCCACATTTTGAATCTTTCAGAGCAATCAAGGCTCGGGCCGCAGGAAACTTGCCCTCGTGTTTAGCCTCCTGTGTCTTTCTGCACGGCCTCCCTGCTTGCTGCATGCAGAGGTCATCGTTGTGTATGCCCACTGTCATTCTTCCCGTGCTTGATTTCAATAATACAATGGTAGAAATATGTGATTTCCCACAGTTTCAACTGGCTTTGGTTAGTTGCCGTTATCTCAAATTAATCTTATTAGATATTGTTGGTGGTAATTACGTGCCAGCTTTATTTAGTTAACTTCTCAGAGGTCCACATGACAAGGAGTCTCAAGTAATAGACGGTTGTCTCAGTCATGCAAATTTGGGGAATGAATTAATCAAGCAAAAGGTCAGCTATTACCATTATCTATCTTATCCATCAGTGCCAGTCATCACAGTTTCTATGAGCTATTGAACAAATCGAGGTTGTTCTGGTAACAGAAACCTGCTTTCCTCAGTCCCGAAACTGTGGATTTCCTTTCAAAACCCTACCCAGCTTCTGGATGTTGAAGAGCCTACTGAAATAGAGACAGCAGATCATAAATGTTCATCTGAAAAATAGATAGTTTGCTCCTCAGCCTGTCCAGCTGGGTATTGCAGTTCAGGTTGCCAGCTCTCATACACTGTGAGAACTCCAAAAGATGAGAGCTGCTCTCCCAGGGTTGTCCCTTCACACCGGGTACCGAGCAGACCCCTTYGGGTCCCTTTGGAGATGATGGTTGGTCAACTCTGACACTCCTCCTTCAGAAGCTCTTTGCTGGTGAGAACTCCAGAGGGTCTCGGGTCCCTTGGTCCATTGGAGAAGCACAGATGCATGGGCAGATGTTGACCAAGCCAAACTTGCTCCCCGTGCAGCCTCGTTAGGAAACGTTGTGCTCCCTGTGTGCAGCTCTCCAGGCACGTGGTCTGCTCCACGTTCCCTTGCAAGGAGCCGCTGGGAGGCCTCCTGGCTTGGAGGACCTTTGAGCAGCTGGACAGCCTGCGCTGCCCCGCATGGCAAGAGAGATTTGGGATTGATGAACATGTGCTAGAGCCAAATCAAACATATTTGTTTTGTGCGGTATTATTTGTCAAAGTGACATCATTCCTCATGCGGATGAACAGGGAGCTGGGAGGGAAGTGCCACTCTGCAGGATGGGAGCTGCATGGAGCGGAGCGGAGCAGGGGGAACCTTCCTGCCATCCGTGACCCGGAGCGGGTGGCCGAGAGCAGCCCCTGCTGCGGGTCCTGCTGCGCGGAGCACCGCGGGAGGGAAGGCAGCTAAAGCCAGCGGCGTGAAAATTAACATCTAAAAAAGTTGCTCTGTGTCCCACCCGCACCGGGCGGGGGAACTAGAGGAGGGGGGGAAAAAAAAGAGAACTGGATTATAATAAAAAATAGACTGCAGGCATGGAACGAGCAGTTGCCGTGACCTTGCCTTTTGTATGCCATTACACAATTCAATGGCAGTCCACTCAAACCTTGCTCTCGATCAATATCCTATTAAAGCAGCACAAAAAGTCTCTATAAACTTAGTGGTTAGCTATGTTTATAAATGGAACTCAGCATAATGAGACGGTCAATAGCAGCCTGTACTTGTAATTTTAGAAGCAACATCACACATTTCATATCTGTTGTACGCGGCAGAGCCCCGTTGCTACAGGGTGCGGGAGGCAAATGCCAGTGGGCAAAAAAACCCACCCCGGATCCCTCTTAGCTCTGTCCCCTGCAACACAGTTGTGAAGCCACGACACAGGGAGAAGTTTATTAGTCAAATATCACGTTTTTCCCATTTAACCTCAAGCCCATCATCACTCCCTGGCAGCGTTACAGGTGTAGTGATCCTAGTCACCGCACTGGCCCTTTGTAAAAATAAGTATGGAAAATGGGGAAAAGAAGAAAAAGAGGAGCTACGTATTAGCATGACTAAGAGAACGCCACGGTCTGAGGAAGAGCAACCAGCCTAACCCCCTTGTTTAGTGAGTCCTGCCTTGTAGTGCAATACATTTTGCAAAATAAATATTCCAATTGAGTTAAACCACAGGGTTGGGTGGTTTTTTTTTTTTTTTTTCCCTGTGATTTTTCCTAACATTTGGGTGGCCGTAGGAGCCGGCCAGGTGCTCCGGCCGCTCGCAGACCGAGCGCCCTGTGTAGCTGCTGCAGGGACTGCAGCTCCCTGCTGTGTCCCTGCTCCGCTGCGGCTGCTCTGTGCTCCCAGCCGGGGCCAGCGYGGGGATTTGGACACACACATCCAGGAGGATGATTAACAGAGGGAAGAGAAAGGAAGAGGCAAAGCACAGTCCGGATATCAGCGTTTTCGTCCCTATCTGCTTGGAATGAGGCAGCTTCATAAATCTTGCAGTGGCTCCGAAATTCATTTGGCCCCCAAAAGCCGCGGGGCTTTGATTTAGAGCTTGCCTTTTCATGTTCCTGTTTGGGAARTACTGCGCTTACCATGGAAGCGGTGCTGGGGCAGGCAGAGGGTGCGGAGGAAGGATCAGCAAAGGGTTTCCAGAGCACGGGGCTGTTTGGCAAGGAAGTTGCTGAAAACTGGAGTGGATGCTGCAGAGATACCTTTATGATTGATTTCCATTCGAGTCAGACTGACTGCAGTGTGGTCATTTTTCTAACCCAGAACTGCTCACACTGCAGCAGTCTGCTATCTGCAGGGTGTCTGAGTTATAGCAGTCCATGTCCGTGTTACCTCTTACACAAATTACTTACACTGGTTTCTTTTTCCATGCAAATTCATCAGTTTTACAGCCGCTTGTAGGTGCTGTCAGGAAACTGTGGCAGAAAGCACAGGTTGATAAAATGAGTTAATTTTAATATGTTTATTTTTTTCCTCTCTTTTTTTTTTTTTTTTTTTGTTAGTGCACTCTCCCATGTACCCAGTGCACAAGAAGCATATCCCAGTTAAGAGTGGATAATGAAGGATTTGAGTGTTCTTGTCATAAATTACCACCCCACCTAATTCCTTGTGCTGATCACCGCAGCTTTTGCCCGCTGYGTTCAGACGTGCCTGCAACACGAGAGGAAATTGCAGTGTGCCCCCATGGGCACCCAGAGCTGTCCCCTGAACTGGCACCACGACAGTGGCTGCGGTACCAGGGCCCTGCAGGGAGGGGGTTTTGTGAAATACATTGGCCATTGACCTGGGCATGGAGTTGCTCTGCCCGTGGAAGAGCACACTTTAGCACCTGCAAACTTCGGAGTGTGGGATTCGGAATGATGCATTGCAAGGGAAGGGTTCTAGGGCATGGAAATTGGAGGTATTTGTAGTCCTTGCACAAAAACYCACCCCTTCTGTTGGAGAAGAGGGGAGAGGGGAACGATGCGAGATGATTGCTGGGTTGCAGGTTTTGTCTCCAGCTTTGGTTTAGCTAGAGGAGAGGCCAGAGGAAAACGGAAATGCTGGCGAGCGGAGAAGGACTCAGGCTTCTCCGCTGTGGTGTTTTATCCTCCACGGAGCATGGAGGAGCTTTTTCCTCCAAGGAGCATGGAGGAGCTTTTCCTCCGCCTCGCTGCTGGAGGTTGTGCGCTGTGGCACGTAGCGAAGCTCCTGAGCGCTCCACTGCTGCTTATGGGTTATGCCAAGCACACGGCAGAGGGGATGCAGCCTATTGTAACTGTGCCAGCAAATGCAGGCTAATTCAAAAATAAAAAAGCAACAAGTTGCAATAAATGTTGGAATGATAGTAAGAGAAAAGTTGTGCCAAAAGGAACTGCACAAAAGAGTTGCCTTGTCTGTTTAAATTTGTCAAGAGGGAATATCTTTGGAGGACAGTTAGAAATAGTCTGTGTCACTGAACTTTGTATCCTTGATAAACTTTGCATCTTTTTGACTGCAAAACCAGTTACCATAATGATTTCTTAATTTGCACGTCACACCCGTTCTCACCCCAAACTGAATACCCTCATGAGRAGGAAGCAATGGTTGTGAAGTGCAGCGCAAGCCTTGCTCCCATGGCTCACTGTCTGCAATGTCTTTTCTTTCCCCAGCACCAATAGCTGCAGGAACAGGCCCTAATTTCTCCCTCTCCGATTTGGAAAGTTCTTCATACTACAGCATGAGCCCAGGAGCAATGAGGAGGTCTTTACCTAGCACATCCTCTACCAGGTAATTGAATCTGTGCCTACTACTGAGTCACTCGGGAACCCAGGGAAWCCTCACTATTCATGTGGGAAAGTTACTGCTGAATTATTTGATGAGTTGTTTGAGGGCCTCTAGGTGTGGAGCATTTCCAGGCTCACCAAGCAGAAAGCCTCTCTGGATTGCTGTTAAAGTTCTGTATTTATATATAACTTTGGGGAAGCCCTACGGCATCGAGCTGTGTAGCTTCTGGCTCGTGTCTCGGTGTGCAGGGAGTGATTGTGTGGGGGCTGGTGGCAGAAGGGAGGTGGGAGCACGGTGAGATGTGTCACCTTGGCCTAAGGAAGGTCACCCAATATTTGTAAGGAGACACTAGCTCTGATTGTTGTGGCTTAGATTGCATAGGGGGAAAGAAACCCACAATCTGCTAAATTTAAGATTGGCTTGTGTGCATTCTTTGCCTTGAAAAGTGTTATCCATGAGATAACATAATGTCAGATCCTTAGGCTCTAATGCATCCTGTTTTTCATACAGCTTTAAGAGTTTTGTGACTCAACCCTTTGAAAATTGTGAATTTTTAATGCAGGTGAACACCCAGGCTGATTTTCATTCGGGCTTAGATGGTAACCATCAGACAAGGATATTTTTTATTTTTTACCTTGTCCTTTTACTTTAACCATCCATGAGATTAGATTTATAAACAAGCCCAGTCACTCTACTATTCTGAACCCTATTAAGGAACCAGATTGATTTTTTTCCCCCCACAGCCAAAATAGATCTCTTATTTCAAAGACATGACAAGAAAGTCTTAACTTCAGCCCTGGTTTCTTTTACATTCTTATCTTAGTCTGCAGTGTCACCAGCTCTGCAATAAGCAAGCACACATGTAAAATAATCTGCAGTTTGAATGTAGCTGTTGTTTTTATTTTCTTTAAAAAATTACTTAAAGAGAGGCTCTTAGCACTAATTTCTTAGCTTGTGGTTTGCAACGAAGAACATTCTACATCGTGCACCGTGACACTTGGTGACTACAATTCCCATTGCACATCAATTAAAAAGTTTGTGCTCTTTCTTTTTTATGCATGATCTGGGTACTCTGTGTGCAGTGCTCATCATTAACACTGCTCTCAGGTAGAGTTTAGTTGTGGCTCCAAGAGCAAAACAGTGAGGTTATTAGTGTTACTTAAGAGCTCGCTTGTCACTCTCCTATTCTTCTGCAAATAGCTAGCACTGATAAGGAGCTAATTATAAACAGCATGGATGGCTAATAACTTGGTAATATGTTTGTTTTGCTCTCATTAGACTGTTCCCAGTCTGAAAAAAAACTATATTCCTTAAATACACAGACTTGGTGGAATTAGCGGGCGGTATTGGTGTTGTATGCACACCGCTTCCCCTGCAGACATGCGGCTCTTCTCCACCTGAGACTGAAGCCAGATTCATTTAATGGCTAAAGTTAAAGCACTGAAAATACAAATTTGGGCTGATAATAGGTGCTCTGTCAGGACAAGCTGTGTAACTATCTAACAGTTCCAGTTAAACTTACCTGCCATAGCTGTTCTTGTTCCAAAGACAAAAATCATGCAACACAGATTAAATTATCTTTTTTTTTTTTCCTTTTTTAGCTTTTGTGTGCATTGAAAAGTTTCTCACTCCTATTTTTGAAAGCCTAAATGTTAAACTATCTTCTACTTAAAGAATTTTTAGGCAGTCTGTTTGGGTTCAATGAGAGATTGCTTTGTTTTACACTGAATCAGTCATTTTGGCACATTGCAATTGAGGAGCCAATAGTAGATGCTGGGTGGGCAGGATGGCTATGCAGGGCTTGCACCTTTCTCTCCTCAGGCCCTAAGACTTTTATAGTTTCTCTAAACAAGTCAGTCTCATGCAGTGCTGGCAAGGCACGTCCCGGCAGAAGCAGCTGCGTTCCTGCCCGTGTCCACAGCATTTCTTATGTGTTTGTACCGTTTCAGCTCTACAAAACGTCTCAAGTCTGTGGAGGATGAGATGGACAGTCCCGGCGAGGAGCCGTTCTACACAAGCCAAGGGCGCTCGCCGGGAAGCGGCAGCCAGTCAAGTGGATGGCATGAAGTGGAGCCAGGTAAGCCAYGGCTCCAGGAGCCCGCGCACGTGCTCTCCAGGTGCTCTTGTGTTGTCCAAATACGATGAACACGCTGSAGAAAGGTGGTCGGTTATAGACATCTTGCAGCTTCCTCTGTGAGAAGGCCAATCTGATGAAAATACTGTAGTAGTTGTCTTGCTCTTGCAGCTGTGGATGTTTCTGTAGTGTGTCACTTCTGTATTTTGGCCAAGCATCTGAAGTATTTAAGTAATGCAGCAAAAGATATGCTGTCTTTCCCAGTCAAGTGTCTGGATTCAGTTCTGGGACAGCGGTGACAATTGCTTAGCAGAAATTGCACAGCCCTGGCCTGGGCTGTGCTGCACAGGTATAACATTTACATAAAGGTTCCTGAGCTTTGTAAGGCAAAAGGACACTCARGTGTTACACAACACTTGAGCTCACTTGGCAATGACTTTTTGAGACCTACAGAAGGCATTTATTCATCTATAATGTCATGAAGCTCCATATTGAGATAGATAATGCTGGGTATTAAACTTCACAATGTTTAGGAAGCAGTTTTGCTGCCTGTTCTTAGTTAATTGTGTGTGTGATCTTTCTTGTTGATCCATCTTCTCGGTTATATTGCATACTTGCCTGTCCGTTGATCACTTATCTTGATATCAGCTGGGTACTCAGTACCACTCAAAATATTTCTCCTGGTCAGTAGCACTTACAYAGGTGGAGTTAATGCCTCAATTCTGTTACAGCTAATATTCAAATATTTGTTGCTATTAAAAGTAATAGAAGTCATGTATGTTAGATGACAGCTGGTATGTTCACCTCCAAMATCCTGGGGTTTCAGAAGGCCCTCTGAACAGTCCAAGGGACCTTTCACAATACGTATTCTTGCCKTTATTGTTTGCTTGGGTTTGAAATAATGTGTTTCTGGTTTGACTAGAGACAACACATGTTTGTCCAGGGTTCTGCGTCTAATGAACTATACAGCACAGGAAAAGTAAATTCAACCTGAACTGCATTAAAATCAGTTCCGTGGGCACTTGGCCAGCCACCTATATCCTTTCTCATGTAGGAAACATACCCGCAGCCTCCTCTAGAGACCCTGTCAAACAGCTGTGCTTTACAGCCTGCCCAGAAAGTCACCAAATTTGGGCTACTCCAGACTGGGAGGGGATTGATTCCGGCGCCTGGGAGCCCTTGGAGGATCCCCTGCCAGCTGCCCTCTCTGCTCTAATGAGGAGGAGCCAGCTTGTGGGCCCTTATTGCCTGCAGATGTGGTGCCTTGGCAGGAGGAGAGGCTGGACCTGCCGCACACAAGTGCCAGGCCCGCCGGGACCGCCTCGTCCCCAGGGCTCTGCCGCTCGCCCTGGGGTGTCCTGCCCCGGCACAGGCGCAGCCTGGCGCTTGCCGGGCACAAAGCAGGAGCAAAAGCCCCGTCCGTGCCCGTCGGAGGGGTTAGAAGCTGCCCGGGTCACCACCCTTGTGTCATTGTCACACCGAGGGCTGAATCACCCCAGAGTTCGGGCTGCTCTTTCTTAATGACAAACAGTCTCCATCTGTACAGCAGCTAGGGGTTGGCTGTGAACTCTGCCGTCGCTCCTGGTCGTTTCCCCACGCGTGGTCATCGCGCTGTCTCTTCGGGGTCCTGCTAGATAGCAGCCTGGAACTGCTGAGCTGGACCAGAGGGACCTCCAGCCTTCAGCGGGTTGGGGGACGGAAGCTCCTCCGCCTCTCCCGGCACTGCTGAGTGCTCATCGGGAGCAAGGACAACTGCCCACATCAGGCTTCCTGAGCCTCCCGAAGGCAGGGGCAAGGCAGAGGAGGAACCAGCTTCTTGACAGCCTCCCTCACTTACTGTGGAAGCAGCTCGAATCTGTTTAGTCTTGTCCATAAAACAGCAGAAAGTCACCTTGCAACCTAAGGGACTTGAACCAGGTGCCAGCTAGATGTAGCTCAGATTCACCAAGCTCTCTCCTCCTGCAGTTGTGAAGGAAAAGCTCTTCATGCTGCCTGCRTGGGATGTGCTTCAAGCCACCTTCCCGCTGTGTCCATGCGGCGTCACACTGAGGCCTCGCGCAGGCTTTGCAGCAGCCTCTGCTCCAGATCTTGGTCCCAGCTGCTCCATAACACAGTCACTGCAAGAGCGTGGCTGGGAGAGGAGCCTGAGGAGTCACAGCTCAGTGGTGAAGGACAGTTCTGAAGTGTCCTCTCGGGCCAGGACGAGAGCGATGTGTCTCTGGAACCAGGCCCTTCCTCCTAAGTGACAGGGAGGGAACCCATCCTGCACTGAGGCCTCAGAAATCACATGTGGGTCTGATATCAATGCTTGACCCTTCTGACGTGTATTTGCCACAAGTGCTTTCTCTCTATGAGTGTGAAATGTTTTATTATTCTTCATCGGGGCATCTAAATATGCCCCAGTATGCCTAGAAAGTATTTTGGCCATCTGAAAGATATACAAATGATGGTAACACCCCCTGTTAGCTTCTGCCTGGCCGGAGTATTCCTCTGTGAGCTCTGCCCTGTTTCAAATACGTCCCTTCCCATCTCCCCTGTCCAGAAAAGGGCTTTGCTGTTTATTTAATCTAGAAGCAAAAGTGATTGCACAGTTTTAACTTACAGAGTCCCTGAGCTTCAGCGTTTCCGTTTTTCTCAGTGAAATTCAGAGCAGACGTKTAAGGGCTGAAGCCGTCTCTCTGTTTGCCTTGGCATGCCGTGGCCGTGGCTGGTTCTGCGGCGCGCGGGGCGGCGCGGAGCGATGCTCGTTCCCAAGGCAGGCGCCGCCTCCATCCCGCACTGGCAGAGTCGCCTACGCCGCCTTTCCAAACCCCATAACTCAGCCCTGCCCTTGGGGTTTCTGGCCGRGCTGCAGGGGGAAGAAATCAGGGTAAGGAGAGGAAGCGCAGAGCTGTCTGCGGGATGGCCGTCGTGCCGGGGAAGGAAGGAGCACAGCGAGGAGCCGCAGCCAACCTCCCAGCGCGCTCGGATCTGCACCAACCATAACAACACATCGCTTGGCTTTCTTGCCTCCGGGTAGAGCGCTTTTTCCCGGCGGATTTGTCCAGAGAGAGCGCCTCTGAATCAGAGCAGGGAGCAAAGCAGGGGCAAGTGGGAAACCCTCTGTGCAGAGCAGGACGGGTGCTCGAGGCTCGCGAGGGGCTGCGGTAGAAGGGGTTGGCTGGGGGAGTGCAGGGGAATTAGGAACGTGGCCTGCAGGCAAGTGGGGCTGGAGAGACGGCTCCCTGAAAAGGGAAAAGGGAACACGACCTAGCCAAAGAGAGAGGAAAGGGAGAATGTTTTAGACCATAGAGAAAGAAAACATATATAGTGAAGGAAAAAAAAAAAAGGAGGAACAAATGCCAGGAAAACAAAGATTTGACTTCCTAGAAAGGAAATATGAAATGGAATATATGAACTCCTCTTAGAAAAGAGAGCACTCCAGGCAGAGGGTTATTTACCGCCAGCCGTGACTACTCACTCTACATCTGTCTCCATTTCTTCCTTTTGAACCAATTCCCTTTCTGGATACTTTCTTACTGCTCCACTTCCCTGTGATTGCCCCTGTAAGTGGTCTTTGGAGGGCAGAATGCATACTCAGAACATATGTGCAAACTGGCAGGAGAACAGAAGAGGACAAAACCTCTCTGTGTGCTCTGTGGATGCGGCTGCGGATGCTTCCCCCRTGCCTGCTCCTGGGGTCTCCGGTGCGCGCAGAACATCCAGTCTTATCCCTCTTGGTTTGTATCATAGAAGACTTTGGGGCTCGGAGCACCCTGACATCTGTCTCATGTGAAGACTTGGCTGGTTTTGCATCCTGTGGGCTTCACCCACCAGCAACATGACCTTTCCAGTCTTGGCACTTGAGCCCCATCGCGATGACCGGAGCCGTGAGCTCAGGTTTTCACATCTAGATCTAGCAGGGATGCAGCCCTCTCCTTATACGTCAGACGTGACAGCCAAAGCAAAACCCCACATTAATTCCCCGTTCCTTGTACTGTACTCTTTGAGTCTCACATCCATTTACCTGCACTCGAAAGCTCCCGGGGAGCTCTCCGGCCTAAAAAGGCTGGAGTCTGCCAGAAAAGATGAATTTCCTTTCACAACAGGAAGGCTTAGGAAGTAAAACAAAGCAGACGTGTAGTAAATTACTTGTGCTTTTCAAATACCTTCTGCGGTATCCTCCTTACCATTACTTTATCTCAGCACTTTCAGTACATAACTCTTGTTAACTGAGAAGAAGGGCAAGAGAGGATAAAGATGATGTTAGGAAGAAAATCAGGCAACATCACACTGACTTTGAACTCGGGTTCAAATGCTGGCCCCTGTTCAGTTCTGCGGCAGCTCTGGTTGTAGCGGGGTAAGCCATAATTAGTGGTGTAGACTTTTGATTCCACAGTAAGGGRATGCACCCTGGAAGATGGAGTTAGAATGTGTCCGAGTTCCACTGATGCATTTGTCTGATGCATCCTCTGGTTCGGCGCACAAGTAACGTTCACATTGGGCTCTGTCAGTCGCTCCGTTGCAGAGCATACGGATGGCATTTGCCTACTTTGCTTGAGTTGTATTTCTGAAGTGCAACGTGGGAAAAGGAATGTGAGATGGGAATTCAGAGAATTGCGTTAGTTTCTTGACTTGGATCTTCCTGGTACTTGCATTTCCACAAGTTGCTTGACTCCCTAGAGGGGACCCAGTAAACCCCGAAAGGTGGGAGCTGTCTGCAGCCCTTGTGCTGCCTGATGTTCCTGCAGGGAGGATTAGCTCTGCTCCAGTCGTGTTCTTGAGCAGCTTCCAGCCCTGCACCCAGGTTGGAAGTTGCGGGAGCTCCCTGGTCCTTCTTCCACTGAAAGGCTTCAATTTTCCATTCCTGGCCAAGGCACCTTCTCTCGCCCCAGCTCCACCCCTATTATTCTGCTGCTAGTCCCAGTGTGCAAAGCTCGTGCGTGTCTTCAGCTTGAAAACCACAGCAACCAAAGGAGGCGTTCCAAAAAGTTAGCAAATTATTAATGCAGAACACTCGTACT